ACACGAGCGCTCCAAATGAAATTTCACGAGCGCCCCAAACGCAAACCACGAGCGCCCCAAATAAGCATCTCGAGCCCCCAATGAACGTTCTGTCCAATCTTGCATCATGGGCTCTCGTAATGCGATAACTTTTATATATTAATATATAAAGCATTTCAACAGTGATAATTTATTTATTTAACATTTTTATTTCAATCTATGCTGCAATTGGTTTATGTATAGTTGGATACATCTGTGCAAAGTGCTGTGACTTTCTTCTGTTAAAGAAGGGCACACGCCCTTTCAGGACCTGCGTAATACGACGTTTCGGGACTAGCTTCGAGACAGTTCGGGACTTGAGTTTCATTTTCGGGATTTTTAACATATTATTGTCATCTCCCTCGGGAGATGACACATTAAGTTTGAATCACCGGAAGTGAAGTCCTAGTGTAAGCTGCCATTGATAAGCTGGTGGTCTGGCAAAGGAACTGACGATGACACGATTTCTAAATATAGAGATGTAAACAAAATTGACCAAAGTCTGTCTTATTATCATTAAACAAAATGGTCCATCTTAAAGTAAAACTACACCAGTGTTCATTAAGAGTAAAAGAGGTAGGATCACTTGGGTGGTGGTGGGTTTCATTAACGGTTTATACACATAAACTTTGTATCTAGGCTATTGCGTAAAATGATGGTCAGCGCGCAGGGATCAAAATACACAAAACATATAAGCCAAGGCGTGGATCCAAGATTTACTGACGAAAGAAAACAGTGAAAACATTTAAATAACAACTCACATTAAATGCGTAATTATATACAATGGCAAAAACTTTACTTTTATGTGCACTTTAGTCAATAGATAATTAATGCCGTATGTATATGAAAAATAAAACAGAACTTATTCAAAAAATAAATAAATAAATAAATAAATTTCGAAGAAAAGAAATTTTATCTAAAAGCACAATTTAGGCAGAAACATAAATGTCTCTGGTTTAAGTAACTCAGTGCTGCAGGCATTGGAATAAAGATTATAAAGAATCATTATATGAGTATTTTGTCGGATGTGTGCACTTTATTCTTTTTTATTTAAATTTACCCCTGTAGAAAAGTATAAGAAAAGGTAGTTTTCTTCACCTGGGCCAGATTTTAAGAATTAATAAACAAAGCAACTGTTATAATTTTCTTTATGCAATTCTAATTTGCGTTTTTTGTCAATGAGAAAAGGTAAAAAAAAACATTCCTCGTATTCTTGAAATAAAGCCAAAATTTTAAATTTTAAATGTGTGTCTCATGGAACAGCCTATAAAATCGATGTTGGTAGATAGGGGTTCTTTTCGGTGTGTTAATACTTAATCTTAAATGGTAACGTTTCAATTTTATTACCTTTATGCATGATTTTTTCACAGGAGCGTATACATGAACATGTACTTATATTATACATAATATAGTGTTAGAACATGAATCTGCATGGGCAGCAGAAGGGCATGATGCAGGAATATCTCAATTTTTCATTTGATATTCAAAGTGGCTCGATAATCAATCAAATCCCAGTGGCTCGATGGCCAAATCACTTCAGAGGATACGATTAAGGAAAATAAGGAAAGTCTTGAGAATTAATTCAGGTTCAGATTAATTTAAGTTGGCGCTTTAAAACTTCTTTGCTGCCGTAGTAGGCGGCTAAGAACTAAAGTCAAAAGGAACGCTTAGTTTTTATCCATCTTCTTTCGGAATAATTGTTAAAGCTATACATGGCGTATCTGAGCTAAAAAATAAAAACTCGAGATTGGGTGTAGCTAAACATGATATACCCCGGTATGTCATTTACGTTGAAATTAAAATTTTCACCGATTTTGAACTTGAATAACCTCATGTTTCCATAGTTCGACTGATTAAAAAAAAACTGTGTCTGTTAATTTAAAATCTGAATCGGTAAATAAATCGGTTTTTGTTTTAAATTTCTAATATCTTTGAAACGTGATTGATTTAAATTGTGTAATTTATAGAAAAGTCCTATTTTTATATAAAGTAATAAAACAAATAGAAAGATCTTTTTAATTTAGGTAGTCTGAACTTATGAAAAAAAAAACCCCCGCAATATATGACTTTAAATAATTCTTACGAATATTTCTCAGTGGTTAGAATTTTTTACAGACATTATACAAAATATATTTAAACCGAATAAAGCATATTTACAACAGGTAAAAAAATACAGGCACATATATAGCACCAAACATTGAAGAGGCGCACCCTTGACCCCTCTTTAACCTTTTGTTGCAGTATGGTACGTCAAATCATCCCATGAGAATGTATTATAATTTAAAATATGTTTGTCGGAAAAGTTGTAATCCCTCATTCCCTTCCAAGAAATGAAAATGTTGAGTTTGGATAGCCCCTTTTTCCCCTTGTCCCCTTGATTGTTCAGATAAATCGTCGATTATTTTTTTTGTCCTCCACCCCCCATTTTTTCAAAAGCGATGCTACTGCCTCTAATAGCTGAGAAAATAATATAACATTCCACTGTTTATTCTGTGACATTAATGAAGCCAAAGAGATGACATTTCAGGCTTTCTGGAAAGCCAAACTTGTTATATTATGATGATATAAATTGTTTCTTCTTAATACACATAGCACGTAATATTTAAGCCATAACTATGGAATCCGGATAGGGCCATGCAGTTCACTATCGCATCATCGCACCATCGAGGTTTGGGTCGATAGTGCGATGACGCGATAATGCGATGACGATGAAGCGATGGTGCGATAACGATGAAGCGATGGTGCGATAGCGCGATGGCGATGATGCGATGGCACGACAATGCGATGACGATGATGCGATGGTACGATGAAGCGATAGCGCGATGACGCGATGGCACGATAGCGATGATGCGATGGTGCGATAGCGATGATGCGATGGCGCGATAGTGATGACGCGATGCTATATCGTGACATCGTTATTGCTTTATCGCACTATCGTCATCGTGTCATCGCACCATCGCTCTATCGACTAGTACTTTCTATAACCGGATAACATTCCCAGCAGTCATTGCACAACATGGCGTTTGTTGACGAAAAGATAATAAAGAAATCATATTCCTTCTATGGAGTAATTATGGTGTGAAAATAAGGTAGGTATTATTAATTGTCATAAGTTATGATAATATAAGTACCTGTATATGCTAATATTTTCTCTAAGAGTAATAAAGTTACTATACATTAAATTTATAGTCTCATTCAAAGATTGTTTATGTGCGTGTTCTACTTGTATGTATATATCTGTTATTTAAGAAATAGTGATTGAAGTTAAAATCTCCCATTTTAAGATATATTTTATGCATTATTTTTTAAAATAATTAAGCTGTAGACATTTGAAAAGGCGCATGACCAGACTTAATTTGAGAAGACGGAGATCATACAATGTGGATATGGCAATAAGGGCTATTCAGGTTATATTGCTTGTGTTTTATTTCATCTTTCTTTTTTGATAGATTGATCAAATCTAGAAAAATCGTCAGTATCATCTACATTTTGATGATAGCTCATTATTTTTAGTTAACTCATACAAATGTTAAAAATTTCATATGATTTACATATATTCTACTCAAAGGAAGAAATGATGTTCAGTGGACAGATTCTTGGGTGTCGTTCGATGAAACGAAGACTTCTTCAGAAACATGGCATCTTTATAGGAAGGTATATTATCTTATTATGATTAATAAACAGAATTCAGGTTTCTTGTTCAAAGTATTAATTTTATTTCTTGAATTCACCAGAATGCCAATTATACAGAATATTTGCTGACATTACTTTTATGAGCTTAAGGACATACACAACATAGTGTTGGAATTTTATTTTCTTATTCCCTTGTTGATTTAATTAAGAGTTCAATAATTGAAAAACCTTTGCACAATTTAATGATGCCTGTAAATGCCGTTACCTCCTCTGAAGCAAATGTTGAGGAAATACCAGCTAACACTATATTTTTGTTATTTTTTTCTTTGAGAAAATACAATGATTTTCATCATATTACATCTTTTGAAAACTCCTGGTAATGTATGCTGTTTTTTTTTTGTCTTAAAACACCTGATGAGACTCTATAATTTTAAATTAGGAATATCCTGGAAAATAGTTGGTAAGGTACACGTAAATGCAAGTTGACCTTAAGAGGCAATAATGCTTTTCTTAGTCAAAATTTGCAACTTCTATACTACTTGACATGTATTTCTAACTCATCTCTTTATTTTCCTTTTCTTTCAGAAGGTACATCTAAAATTAATCTAAACATGCTCTTGGCGTTTTGGACTGGAGCTGAAACAATCCCTCCACTAGGATTTCACAAAAAGCTTGAAATTAAATTTGTGGAAGACCCTGCCTGTTTGCCAAGTGCACATACCTGCGATCTTTTGTTGGAAATATCTAGGGGAGAACCCCCTGAGGAATTTCACAGAAAAATGTAGTTGGCAATCACTTGGGGGGGGGGGGGGATTCCATCTTGCTTAAGAAAATAACTTTATGTATTCAATGCTATATCTATGTTTTGAAAGTTTTCATTCAATTAATTTTTAAACTCAATAATGGCAATGATAGTCATATTAACGAATAAGAGTATTTCTTAAGGGAAAGATAATACTAAAGGACATTGATAATCATATGAGGAGTATTTCTTCAGGGAAAGATAATACAAAAAGACTTTTTTGTATGGGAATATTAATTGATATTTGGTGTATTTGTGGTAGTAAGCATGCTTTTGAATTTTAAATTCTAGATTGTTGCATCTGTATGCCAAAAAAGTTTTTCTCAGAGCAGTTTGCTTTCCTTATATCCTCATTTTGCAATTTTCATTAATAGTTGTTCTAATGAATGTGGCATGTATGGTGACCCAATAAACATAGTAATAATTTCTGTTTGTGACTTTTAATTCATACACTTTGATGATTAGTGTACAATATTTTTCATGAAAATTGAAAAAAAGTCAAGTGAAACATCAGGTGATGATTTATTCTCTAATCTTAATTTGGATTTTACAACTTTTCAACCAAGTACTTCAAAGCCTCCATGGCCTTCTCAGTGGTGTTTGGAACAATTCTCCCACCCTCCAAAAGCAAATGATCAAAGTATGCTGCATAGTCCTCCCAACATCCTGTCGAGCTTGGACTAGGAAATAGTCTTTGAAACTCTAGCACGTCATGAATATCCACTGGAAATTTATAATCTATTGCACCTGTACATAAAAAAATGAAGTCATGATGTGTTGATACTGTTTTAAATTTGAGTACTGAAAAACAACCAAGGTATCGAAGGAGAAAGGTAAACACAGAAAAATATTCAAATTAAAGTTAGTGATTAGACAAATCTTTGCTAGGAAAAATACCAAAAATTTTAGGGTGGAAAAACATCATTTCTGGTTTTCCTGGGAGATTTCCATCATCATCATAGCGTCTTTGTGCTCTGATGTAATGGTTATTCCATTCTGTTTTTATTTGATCAAGTTCTTGTTGGATGATTTTCATAAAACAGAAGCGAAGGCATTCTCTAAATTGGTAAATTTTAAAGGTCAATTTTGAAAACAAGAAAAAAAATTAGGGTGAAATTTTTCCTGTAAAAAAATGTTTATATTTCTTAATATTTCTTTAATTAGAAAAACACTTATAAATGGTTGGTTTAGTCTAAGTCATAAGGATTTAGGTAACATGCAGAAATATCATAATAGGTTATAAATGCGTAAATTCTTAATTTTTTAAAGTATAAATAAAGAATTTATTTCTCTTCTTACATGTGCTCGTTATTTGCTGATGAGAACATCCCTTGGTCTTCCATGTCTTTGAACAAGTCTATCCAGAAGGAGATGCCCATCTCTCTCAGTGTTCTCCACCAGCGTTCAATTCTCTTAAATCAAAATGTGTTTTTGAAAAACTGAAGGCTGATTTTTCAAAAGTAGGTCAAACTTCAAGGTTATTGAGTACAAATGTTGGTACATTCACAAGGAATACACAACTTCCCTAGGATCAACCGTTCAAAGTTATGGCCAAGGTCAAAGTTTTACAAAAGTAGGTTAAACTCCAAGACAGTTTTTTTTTTTTTACAAGAAATACACTTGAGAAATACGAAATCTCTAACATCAACCATTCAGAAGTTATGTCCAAAATTAAAGTTTTTTCATAAGTAGGTCGAACCCTATGGTCAAGGTCATTAGGTCAAAAAATGTTGGTGCATTAAAGTCTTTGCAGATAAAAATACAGACAGACCCAAAGCTATATGGATAAGGACCCCGAATCTTTAATCATAGGGGCATAAAACAATCACATAAATTAGTCATATATTAATTTCATAATGATACAGAAACAATAATATGTATATCAAATTATGTGCAGAGATATTTTAAATCATTAAACTGACTTCATTTTCAAATATTTGACAACAGGTTTCTAGAAAGGGGGATGGAGAGGGGTATGGGAGGGTTATCCCTCCCCTGGGTCAGAAAATTTATAATAAAAATGCATACAAGTCTGTTGCATTCTGGGGGTCATTTTTTTTTTCAAATATGAAATAAACAAATAAATAGCAAAACTTTAAACAAAATATTGGTGTTTTCAGGGGTTGCAATTGCATCTCCCCCCCCCCCCCGATGGCTCTGTAGTATAACTAATACTATAAAAAGAACTGTGTCACCTTGAACTCTATTAAATGAAACGGATGCAAATAATGAAAGTATGAAGTTTGCAAAACTTATTATTTCTAAAATTATCTGTGGTATCAGATTACACAATGACGCCTATGAAAGATAATAATATGAAGAATTATTTTGGTCTTTGAAAAGTAATAGTGAAAATAATCAGTTGATCTATTTTCCCTCAGGAAAAATGTTCAGAAAAGTAGAGAGTTTGAAAAGAAACTTAAATGAGGATTACACATACAAATTTTTAAAGTATTCAATTACTTCAGTTATTTGATCTTATATTAAGGACATACGCAACATACCTTACCTACTGATAATTTTTCAAGATATTCTTAATTTAAGATTATAGTGTCATCAGATGTTCATAGACAAAAAATTAGCATGCATTACCAGGGGTTTTAAAAAGATATCAAATGATGAAAATTCTTGTATAATGCAAAGAAAAATATACAAAAATAACTAAACATATATTCTAAATGTTTTGTTTACCCAAAATTGTTGAAGAAGAAGTGTACAACAGAAAATATGGACATTAAAGTTTAGCACACAGTTCTTTTAAGTATTGTTACTCTTCAACTCCAGGGAAATAGACAATAAAGTTCAAACTACGTTATGTATGTCCTTAAGTTGGGACTAACTGAATTGACTGTGATTGGAGTAGTAGACCATTCAGATTTGATCAAGTCCCCCCCCCCCCCAATTTTCAAATCAAAGGGCAAATTACTCTAACTTCTACTGCAGGAGTGTTAACTGGAATTGGAACTCAGTCCTAGGTGTGCAGATTTTAGAAGGTTATTAAACTCATCTGATTTGTTTATACAACATAAGTTACTAAATCATATTGTTATTTAAAAAACAACTTCATATTCATACCTGGTTAGACATTGATCTTCCTTTGATAAACTCTTTTCTCCACACATGTCATCATTATCGTACCAACGGAAGGATTTTTGAATGCCCTCAATGTATATATTCTCAGTTCCAGCATCAAGTCTCACACACCTTGGAGCACCTATGTATTGGAAAACTCATACTACCATGAACTGAGACAAATATGGTTTCTTTGTTCAAGTAAATATTTTTTACAAAATAATGCATTTTATGTGTATTTATTCTGTATCAATACAAAATAATGTATTTAGAATGTTACTTAGTAGAAAATTAACTTGTGAAAATTAAACTGCATTTACAGTTTCAGGAATATATTTATCATTGATTTGTAAAAATTATATACTCAACTATTTATTTCCTCCAGGTATTTCAAGAAATATGATGCTACAATGTACAACAAAAGAGTCATTGTTTGTTTTTGCAACTTTAAGCCATAGTATTCGTCTTGAAAATCTGAAAGGATAGGAATTTGATCATTTAGATTAATAGTTGCTTAGATACATTCTTCTTGTCAAGCAGTGACTTGCTCTTAGATCAACTCCATCAGGATCGATTATTCTCAATAAACACATGTTATCCCTGGAACAGTATATATATATAATTAATCATCAACCATTTTAAATCTAACCATTACATTTTAACAAAAAAAAAATAAATTCAATGAAATTATTCTAAATATCTTATTTATATAAAACTCATTATAAGCAATAGGCACATCGTTTGAATTCTCTTTATTAATCATAATAAGATAATATACCTTCCTATAAAGATGCCATGTTTCTGAAGAAGCCTTCGTTTCATCGAACGACACCCAAGAGTCTGTCCACTGAACATCATTTCTTCCTTTGAGTAGAATATATGTAAATCATATGAAATTTTTAACATTTGTATGAGTTAACTAAAAATAATGAGCTATCATCAAAATGTAGATGTTACTGACGATTTTTCTAGATTTGATCAATCTATCAAAAAAGAAAGATGAAATAAAACACAAGCAATATTACCTGAATAGCCCTTATTGCCATATCCACATTGTATGATCTCCGTCTTCTCAAATTAAGTCTGGTCATGCGTCTTTTCAAATGTCTACAGCTTAATTATTTTAAAAAATAATGCATAAAATATACTGTATCTTAAAATGGGAGATTTTAACTTCAATCACTAAATAACAGATATATACATACAAGTAGAACACGCATATAAACAATCTTTGAATGAGACTACAAATTTAATGTATAGTACCTTTATTACTCTTAGAGAAAATATTAGCCTATACAGGTACTTATATTATCATAACTTCTGACAATTAATAATACCTACCTTATTTTCACACCATAATTACTCCATAGAAGGAATATGATTTCTTTATTATCGTATCCGTTGAAGAAATATTCTTGAATCTTTTCGTCAACAAACGCCATGTTGTGCAATGACTGCTGGGAATGTTATCCGGTTATAGAAAGTACTAGTCGATAGAGCGATGGTGCGATGACACGATGACGATAGTGCGATAAAGCAATAACGATGTCACGATATAGCATCGCGTCATCACTATCGCGCCATCGCATCATCGCTATCGCACCATCGCATCATCGCTATCGTGCCATCGCGTCATCGCGCTATCGCTTCATCGTACCATCGCATCATCGTCATCGCATTGTCGTGCCATCGCATCATCGCCATCGCGCTATCGCACCATCGCTTCATCGTTATCGCACCATCGCTTCATCGTCATCGCATTATCGTGTCATCGCACTATCGACTCAAACCTCGATGGTGCGATGATGCGATAGTGAACTGCATGACCCTATCCGGATTCCATACATAACCGCATTAAAATTTATTTATATATTAAGTTGTCTTGTATTTTAATGTTTTTATTCATAACAGAGGGAGAAGAGTAAAACTTCATGCAATATATTCGTTTTTTAAATAGCAACATTTCAACTCACTTGCAATGCTCCATATAGTTAGCATAGTATTTAGTTTATGAGGCAATCAGAAGTTAGAAGGATATTCCCTATTCCCTATTGACTATTCGAATGGTGAACCGGATGCTGCTACCGGTTCCCTAGAGTGGGGTCTGTCAGCTAACATCCGCAACTGTACTCGGCACTGCTGGTACCGGACATCCATGACTGTACCTGCTCACTAATATCAAAAACGGAATGTCAGAGCAAGATTTTCCGGATTGTTCAACATATTAAACTATATGTTGTTAATAAAGTATGGATTATTTTTTAATGAAAATACGAAATGTGTTAATATGGAGGAAAGAAAATTTCTGATTTTAAATAAATCTACTTTATGGAAGGCTGTAATCTCCAAAACGGTAACGATAACTGGCTTAGTGAATATATCGCGGAAAATAATTGTAAACTTGACTATGCCTAAATTTTGTATATCTATGACTGTATACCTGTGCCTGATATACACCATCTGCGACTGTACCTGTGCCGTACATACACACTACTGCTGACTCAACCCGCGCTTGATTAATAACATCCACAACAAAAAATTCTGTGGATTTTCTCCGATTTAAATTTAGACTGAATTCAATCAAAGCGCAATTAACGCTAATCTTTATATTACCCATGACAGTGATACCGAGACAAACGATGTCAGCAGTGATAAGGGAAGGATCCAAAACTTTTACAGATTTGAATTTAAAGCTTTATGTTCAGAGTACAATATGAGCCAGGTCTTTAATTTTTTTTGGGGGGGGGGGGCTGGGGGCATGATTTCAATATCCTACGTGCTCAATGACAATGATGAATTTAAAATGAAACATGCTAGGAAATTAATGCTATAATCATCGATAACATCCGAAGAAAATATTTGTATAAGTAAATATTCTTATTAGATCCGCCTCTCTAAGATTCTGCAATCAATTGTCTGGAATCAATCTATAGGGAATATCGGTGAATAGCGTTAATAGCACCCTTATTGTGTTTAGCTCAAAGAAAATCGTAAGGAATTTCTTGGGATGCAACATCCACAACTGTACCTGTCCTGACAACTCTAGAAATTGTACACCATGACTGTACCGGAGTCTGATTGACAACATCCACAACTGTACCTGTCCAGTACACACACTTTATTCTACATCCATGACTGTGCCTGTGCTTATAAACAACATCCATGACTGTACCTGTCCAGTACACACACTTTATTCTAGATCCATGACTGTACCTGTGCCTTATAAACAACATCCACGACTGTATCTGTCCAGTACACACACTTTATTCTATATCCATGACTGTACTTGTGCCTTATAAACAACATCCACAACTGTACCTGTGCATATATACATACTTTATTCTACATCCATGACTGTACCTGTGCCTTATAAACAACATCCACGACTGTACCTGTACCTGTACCTTATAAATAACATCCATGACTGTACCTGTGCCTTATAAACAACATCAATGACTGTACCTGTCCAGTACACACACTTTATTCTACATCCATGACTGTACCTGTGCATTATAAACAACATCCACGACTGTACCTGTCCAGTACACACACTTTATTCTACATCCATGACTGTACCTGTGCCTTATAAACAACATCCAAGACTGTACCTGTGCCTTATAAACAACATCCACGACTGTACCTGTGCCTTATAAACAACATCCATGACTGTACCTGTGCCTTATAAACAACATCCATGACTGTACCTGTCCAGTACACACACTTTATTCTACATCCATGACTGTACCTGTGCCTTATAAACAACATCCACGACTGTACCTGTGCAGTACACACACTTTATTCTACATCCCTGACTGTATCTGTGCCTTATAAACAACATCCACGACTGTACTTGTACAGTACACACACTTTATTCTACATCCATGACTGTACCTGTGCCTTATAAACAACTTCCACGACTGTACCTGTGCATATATACATACTTTATTCTACATCCATGAATGTACCTGTGCCTTATAAACAACATCCATGACTGTACCTGTGCATATACACACACTTTATTCTATATCCATGACTGTACCTGTGCCTTATAAACAACATCCACGACCGTACCTGTGCAGTACACACACTTTATTCTACATCCCTGACTGTACCTGTGCCTTATAAACAACATCCACGACTGTACCTATCCAGTACACACATCTTACTATGCATCCATGACTGTACCTGTGCCTTATGTGCCTTATAAACAACATCCACAACTGTACCTGTGCCTTATAAACAACATCCCTGACTTTACCTGTACCTTATAAACAACATCCACAACTGTACCTGTGCCTTATAAACAACATCCATGACTGTACCTGTGAATTATAAACAACATCCACGACTGTACCTGTCCAGTACACACACTTTCTTCTACATCCATGACTGTACCTGTGCCTTATAAACAACATCCACGACTGTACCTGTGCCTTATAAACAACATCCACGACTGTACCTGTACTTTATAAACAACATCCATGACTGTGCCTGTGCCTTATAAACAACATCCATGACTGTACCTGTCCCGTACACACACTTTATTCTACGTCCATGACTGTACCTGTGCCTTATAAACAACATCCACGACTGTACCTGTGCAGTGCACACAGTTTATTCTACATCCCTGACTGTATCTGTGCCTTATAAACAACATCCACGACTGTACTTGTACAGTACACACACTTTATTCTACATCCATGACTGTACCTGTGCCTTATAAACAACATCCACGACTGTACCTAGCTGTGCATATATACATACTTTATTCTACATCCATGAATGTACCTGTGCCTTATAAACAACATCCACGGCTGTACCTGTGCATATATACATACTTTATTCTACATCCATGACTGTACCTGTGCCTTATAAACAACATCCACAACTGTACCTGCGTATGACACACACTACATCTATGACTGTACCTATGCCTTATAATCAAGATTTACTCACAATAAACTTCTCAGGGTTTAAGAGGTACGCATTGTATACTGTATTTGGACCATCCTACCATAAAAAACAACAATATTTAAACAATTTTATTTCACTCACAATTTTTTATCTTTAAGTGTGTACTTGACTCTTAAAATTTGACCATGAAAATCAATTAGAATCAAGTTCGAGACACAGTTAATCATCAGTGTACAGGTGGAAAACTCAAAGCTATAAGTCAACATATAGCCAATTACTATTATTAATTTTAATTAATTTTAATAAACATTTGTCGTATACGTTTGACGTATAATCAGTTGTAAACTATGATAATAATACCCCGCAACTTTGGGGTTGGCACAGAAGAAGGTGTAAAAATGTTTTCATAGTTGAAAACATTTTAGGATGGAATAGTGCATTTTATCGTGTTAACAAAGAAAGACCTATCGAAAATAATTATTGC